GGCGCGTCTGTGGCGCGTCTGCGCAGAAGTGGCAGCGTGCAAAGGCGGTCAAATCTATTTGTGATTCCTCCATAGCGTGTTGTGTTTGCACATTCTATGGGTGCTCACCCATTTTTGGTGTGGGAAGGCCGTACTGTTGGGTGTAAATCACTCGCTCTCGTACATCACGAGCGGCTAGAAAATGCAGGCTCGCTCAAAAGGATACAGACTACGGCACAATTTGATAGGTGTTGGGTGCCCGCTGCGAATTAAAGCTCAGTGAGTTCAGCGCAGTGATGGAGAGCTGCGAATCGAAACCAAACAGGCTTTTTGCGCACAACTATTTCCTCTCCTATAAAATTTACCGAGCATACCCGTTTGTGCGTCAGCTGCTCAAGGATTCGCCGATCATGAACGATATGAAGCTGATGATGGCGAGTGGGAGTAAGGCAAACAGAATCTACGACTTCATTCGAGACCAAACATCTCATTATTCTCAGTTAAAAGACGTGTACAACCTCATTGCTACCACCAAAAACAAAGCTGCAGAGGCAGCACAGCGCAACCAATCGCTTAAGAAGTCCAATCAAGGTTCGAAACTGCGAAGTGCTATGTGTGGCGATGATGTCGTCGAAGTTGCAGAATTTATCTAGTCTTGCGAACCCCCACTTAGCGATGTGGCGTCTTTTCTTTAAGCATTTGAAGGTCAGCACCAGAAGTATCAGAACAAATCGTTCTGTCTGTCGTCGCGTGTACCTACCTCTTCAATTATATCGTACCGACTTTATTCACGAAGGCCTACGAATCATCGGGATGAAAATCCTGTTAGGACAAGTGATGGATCTGTGTACGCCAGTGGATGATAATTGCGAGTGTTGAATTCTTACAGTGGACGGTATTGGAGACGTTACACACATACAAATGATGAGTGTGCAATACGTATAGAGTCATGTGCATACATGTGTACAAGGAATACAGTGCTATTTCTGGCTTATGTGAATAGTGGACGACAACATCGCGCATGAAGCCCCTGCTGCCGTTGCGAAACGATTGATAGATATTTGGTCATTACAATGGCTTCCTGGATTGGGAGACGGTATGGATATACCGTGGAGACATCTCTATTGTACACGCAGTGAGTGTTGGTACAGCAACAAACTTATTTTCAAATTTTACAAAGACTCTACAAGATGTCTATGGATGCAGCTACGATATTTTTGCCCGAAGACGCCAAAAAAAGAAATGCGTATTCCGCCCAAGACGCTGAGTGGAGCAATTTGTCTTCTTGCCGTTGAACATCAACGGAAGTCACTGGGTCTGTCTCGTGGTGGATAAAGTTAAAGAAACTGTCTATTGCTACGATAGCATGAGCAAACGCGCGACTCAAAACTTGCTCACAGAGTTAGCGGAAGAACTAGTGAAGAATAGTCGTCTACCACAGACCTACAGTGTCACGTCGGTGGAGACCTTCATCCAGAAGAACAGCGATAGCTGTGCGTATTCGTGTGCCTGTGTGTCCGGCGACAGTTTGGAAGGAAGCAGGTAGCGATTATACAAAAGTGGGCGTTCCATTGTGAAATTTAGGGACGCAAGCAAGGAAACGACGAAGTAGCAGAGTGATGTGATTACAGGAAAATACAGTATAGGGCTAGCCACAGACTCTAAGGCCAAAGATGATCGGGCATTCTTTACATGTTAGCCATGTTTTTATGCTACCCATGATTTTACAATGTTTACATTAGGATCCTCGCATTAGTTTTATGACATACAATAGGTCATTTATGTAATTTAGGAGTGATCAGGCAAAACAAAGCAGCAGCATCTCGCTTATTCTTCAATGTTTATGATCTCCTGTCACTATGATTGACCATGTCTGTACGTGACATAAACTATATGAGCATATTCTACCGAACTGTCGTATTTTTAGCGTAATCATGGAAAAACTTAGAAATTTCCCGCTCCCTAACCTTGTAGCGTGTCTGTCCGTCCGTCCGTCCGTCCGTCCGTCTGTCAATCAGTCCGTCCGTTTCCTCTCTTGCTGCTTTTGCCTGCCTTTTAGCATGGCTACACTTGGCCTGTCTAATACATTTACGTCCCTTCTTACCGACCGCGCCTACCTTTCTGACTCGACTTTACTATGCCTAAATTACAAATATGGCCAAAAAGCGTGACACAATTAACTCGCGCCCTGATTGGGCAATACCTGCCGACCTGCGACACTGACTGGATCTGTCGCACGATCAGACCGCCTCTCTCCCTCGCGATTGGACGTGATGTAAACATTTCTGCCCAGCACGAAACGCATCGATTGGTTGCAAACAGCCAGGCGAGCTGCGCAGATACTTGATTATTGAGATTTAGCTACGCAAAACCTGTCGTATGTACTGCAAATCGGGCACAGTAACCACTTTATTTTCTAAGAGCTCTGCACACATCTCAAATAGAGATATGTAATATTATTAATGTAGACTTCACAGACCAGTATTTTGTAAGAGCTCTGGGATGTTATTTTCCACACACATTTCAAAGTAAAGACATTATTAATAGTATTAATATTACTAATATAAGCTTCACAGGCCGCATTTGTAAGAGCTCGGCGATGCTATTTTCCACAGACTTTCTAAAGTAGAGACGATAGTATTTTTTAATACTAAAGTAGGCTTCACGACCAGCGCTTTTTGTAGGGACTTTGCGAATATATATATATTTTTTACGTCACCTGGCACTCACCACTGCCACCGTGCAATGAAGGCGCGTGGCTGCACGGTGCATTGCGCTATCTGCTCCCGTGCAAAGCACTCGACGAATGCATGCGCGCACGGTACATAGTGTTTTGAGTCACTTTTTATTCGCATGGTAAAGTAATGTACTTTGGTTGGT